TTCGAGAAGAGGTTAGGAGGACAAGTAGAATATTACTGGTTTATCTGATGTCGTTTTTTATGGTGCAGGCACAATATTAAGCACCATATACCTATCCTTCCACCTACTTTATCCTTCCACTGATTCTTTAAGGTACCCACTTTTTATGGAGGAGAAAGTGGAGCTCCAGAGAAGGTAAATGGCTTGCCCAATGTCATTAAATGCTAGAGGCAATATAAACCCAATGCAAATCTGAAGACTTGATATATTCCTTCCCAGTTTCACATGTACTGTCATCCAAACTTGCACATAACATACTTTAGGCACTGAAATGGTTACGAGAAAAGAAAGGAGAGATGGAATAGATAGCAAATTTTATAGAGAAGGGAAAACTTGGCAAGACCTTCAAGAATAGGTAGAGTTGAGAGAAAAAGCAGAGCTGGAAAGGCATTCCAAATGACAGGAATACAGAAGGCAGAAAGAGCAAGAAATGTTATTGGAGGACAGTCTGATTATTATTATTATTATGACTATGTAAAGTCATATTTGTTAGAGGGTTCTAAGAGCCAGGCTGACATGATTAAATTTAATAGGATAAAACTAGAACTAGCGAACTCCGGGTGGTTCATGAGCTGATATAACAAAAATATGCTGACAGTAGTGTTTGATAGAGATCTGGGTGGCATGGGTTTCAGTCATATAGCTTTTGGAATCATCAGGCATAAAATAAAAAAAAGCATGACCTGTTGTTATTGTTTTACCTAAGGGTATTTCCTATAGTCTACAAAAAAAAAAAGTGGTATAAATAGAAAGGAAGAGCTATTAGAAAATTAATTTAAAGAAAAACAAATGGAATTTGCTGACTAACCAGATATGAGAAATTACAAAAGAATGTTTTCCTCAACGTTTTTTTTTCTTTTAAAATATGTGTATTCTCTTCTTTTCTTTCTTCACTCTGTGATTTTCTTTCAAACTTGTGTTCTATTCTGTCTTTTCACTTCCTTTTCCTTGTTCAGGTTGGCTGAAACACTAGCTGCAGCTACACAAAACAAAGTGTTTGCCAAAAGGAAACTATAGACAGATTTTCCCCTAGGTCAATTCCACATAAGACAAAAGAAAAAATGCTTAGAGAGGGGAAAGGAAATACCTGAACTTCTCCTTTTCAGAATAATCAAAAGATTAATTTATGTTTGTGTTAATCAAATTGTTTTCAGAGATTTTCCTGCTAAGCTCTAAATACTGGCCTTGTAAATATTGTATTTATTCGCCTATCCGCCCCTTTTCTCTACAGCTATTCTCACTCTAAATTGTGGGAGCCAGGAACAAGATCAGAACTTCAAAAGTTTTGGACTTCAGTGCATTGTTGCCCTCAGCAGATTTCTCTGAAACTTTTTACTCTGCCTAAAAAAAAAAAAACACAGAAAAGTCTTTAGAAATAACACCTCCTGATATTTTTCCTCCTCTTTGATAATTCCTTAAAAAAAAAAAATGTTCTTTGAAAATGAAGGACTGACTGACTTAAATAAGAGCTCTTCTCTGATTTGTTAGGAAGATTTGATATTCAAAGGCATTGAGAGGTATAATGGTGTTTACACCAGGGATTTCCTTTTCTCTCTTTCGTGGCTTACCTCTCTTCAGTTAAGGGAAAGAAAGGCTAAGAAATGAATGTAACTCTGGTTCATAACACTGGACTGGAATTTAAAGGAGGTTCCAATATTGCTTTTCCCTTTGCCCAAGGGTCTGGGGAGAGAAAAAAAGGAATAAGCCAGATTCCCACAAAACAATATAAAAAAAGATAAGCAACCTCAAAGAAAAATGGCCCAAGGCTAAAAACAGAGCATTCCCATAAGAGGAATCTGAACAGCTAACAAACAATAGAAAAGAGGTTCAATTCTATAAGCAATCAGGGAAATGAAAAGTAAAACAAAAATCAGATGCTATTTCTTACCCATCGAGTTTGCAAATTAAAGTATGATAATATCAATATTGGCAAATGAATAGACAAATGGGACTCTCACAGCTATAAATTAGTAAGTATTGGTACAGCACTTTAAAGTGCACTTTCATACTATCTATTAAAATTTGAATTGTGCTTATCTCATGAGCCAGTCAGCATACTTCTTGAAGTTCACTGCAGAAAAATAGTCACGTGGTTCCAATTAGACAAGTTGATTGTATATTATTTGCAACATAGAATTTACTTCAGACACAAATAATTAATCTGAAGAAAGAACTGAGATATGCAAAAAAAAAATGGTAAGCAAACTATTTTTATACAGGTGGGCGAGTCTAAAAAACATGTCTAATTTATAGGAGGAAAATCTGATAGCACTAAAATAGTGAATAATAATCCTATATAATAAGACCCTAATATGAAAATTGTTCCCTCAACCGGGAGTTCAACCAGGGAGTGGGGCCAGGGGCAGTGGCGACAGGAGGCCGGGGAAAGGAAGGTGCCCCCGGCTGGCAGCAGCTAGAGACCCTACCTGTGCACTAATTTTGTGCACTGGGCCTATTATACCTTATAAATTGGGAGGGAGGGTGGTGTGCAGCTCTAAAAACATTCTAAGGCCTTTGAATTATCCAAGAGGAGAGTAAAGATATTATTTTAGACTTTTAAATAGAATAATTACCTTAAAAATTGCCGAAGCCGGTTTGGCTCAGTGGTAGAACATCGGTCTGTGGACTGAAAGGTCCCAGGTTCAATTCCGGTCAAGGGCATGTACATTGGTTGCGGGCACATCCCCGGTAGGGGGTGTGCAAGAGGCAGCTGGTCGATGTTTCTCTCTCATCAATGTTTCTAGCTCTCTATCTCTCTCCCTTCCTCTCTGTAAAAAAATCAATAAAATATATTTTTTTAAAAATAATTATCTTAAAAAGAGTGTATTACTCCAAATAAGTTGAGATAAAAGACATATCTCACACACACACACACACACACACACAGAAGCTTCTTCTTTAACTTTTTGGCATTTTAATCTTTTTGTTGTTGTTGTCGTCTGCCATTCTTATTTATGATAAATAGTATCTTATAATTTTTCATTGTGAGCTTATCTTTAAAGGGTCCTTTTCTTATGAGAATCCCTTTCAGCCTTTTACAGAAATGTCTCTCCAGGTTGGTTTTATGTTTGTTTCTGCCAAGATCATTTTGGGAGAAAGTGGGGAGTAGGGGAGTCAATTTCTAGATTTGAGAGTCCAACAAAACATAAGTGCTTTTGTGAAATTCAAGTATGGGGTTTCAAAATTTCATCAGAATTAAATTTTTTTTCTTTTAATGCAGAAATGAGATAAGCTTCCTCCTCTGGCTGTCCATTGGGTGTGTTGTATTTTCCCTCCTCCGCCTTCAGGAAAAGATGATCTCTTTTGGGGACAATGGCTTATTGTAGAGTATTCAGTTTCAGCTAAGATTTTGGGTTACTCCAAACCATTACCACCTGCCCCTGTCCTACTAGGCCGCAGGTTATAGAGACTAACAACAGCTTGCCGCACCCAGGATGACCAACTACCCAGGTTTACCTGGGACGTGTTTTTTTCAGGAATACAGGGTTTTTCAGTGATAAAATAAGGAAAGATGGTCACTTTCACTCCAGCCCTCATAATCCAGGGCCAGAGGAGAAACAGTTTAAAAAGTTACGGCTCAGGATTTCATTCTAACTTCTCGCATCTCAGGATTTCACTTCATTCTTTTTTTATGGGGTTAAAATGCATATTAAAATGAAGGTCAGTTGTTACTTTACCCGATAATGCTCGGTGTTTGTAGCGACACAGTTGTTCAGGCTACAGAAGTCCACCATTTTGCCATCTCACAAAGTAACATTTTCTTGCCTTTCGTTTGTACAAAGGTGGTTTGAAGGTAATAGTCGTGGTCAGTTACCCACTCTGGGGATAGGGGATTAGAGCGGTTCCCAAAGTAGTGGTTTCCTCCACCAACCACTCCGCAGCTCGCCCTTGCTCTGAGCCCTGTTTCTCTGACCTTGAGAATGTTCTAGAATCCTCTAGGCAGGCCTCGCTTCTTCTTGGGAGGCCTGGAAGGTAAAGTCTCCCCCTTAAAATATAAACTCCCAACGGGGGCTGTGGAGGTGGGGGTGGGGGGGAGCAGGGGATATTTGCCGTTTTGTTAACTCCTGCATCTGTGATACCTGGTGATTATAGGCACTTCCATAATGCTTCTTTAAAAAGCGAACGTCCCGAATGGCCTGACAAAGCTGGCTATTTCTTCGATTCTAATTTAATCTAATCCAATCTAACCCAATCTACAATTTGACTGAAAGGCGTCCATATTTCATTTCACCTTTCATTTTGTTTTCTATTCTGCTTAGGCTCGTTTCTATTTTCTATTTCTGTAGGCTTTTCGATTGATTTAGGGACCAGCCATAGGGATCATCGTGACGGGGCAAATCCTCTGCACTCGGGCCGCCATTTTGAAATTAGAGCCTAGAACACATTCGAATGTCTTTTTTTTAATTTAGAAATATAGTTGAAAGTGCGTATTAAATTCAAATGTGCTCCGAAGGCGCTTTCGGGGGTGATGGGTGTATGGGGGTGATGGGTGTAGTCTGTGGGTCAGTCCGTCCGTCCGTCCACCTCAGGGCGGCGGCTCTCAGCTGCACATTGCCCACCGCCCGCACGCACCCCCTGCGAGGCCCCCCACGTCCCCCCCACCACGTGGGCACCGACGTCCCCCCCAGGCCCCCCCGAAGGGGGCGGGGCCGTGTCACCCATTGGCTGAGGCGGCTCTGACGAAGGATCCCCTGGACTGAGCAGGCGCAGGACCACTTCCCAGAGCCGCCCTGGTCGCCTCAGTCCCCTGCGCCCTCAGCCTCGCGCGGCGGCTCTCGGGACTCGGGGGCCTCGCTGCCACCTTCGCCTTTCCTTCCTCCTCGGCCTTTTCTCCGCTGTCCAGTCGAGGCCGGGCGGCGGGCACCAGCAGGCCCAACAGCGGACCCGCGAGTGGTGCCAGAAGGGCTGCCCCTGCTCCTCGTCCTCGAGCCCTGTCAGCGGAACTGCTCGCTGCCGCCATCATGGTGAGCTGAGAAGGCCTGAGGGGTAGCTAGCTGAATCTCAGGGGGGTTTTGGGCGGAGAAGGCGAGCAACGGAGGGGAACTGGAAGTGGGGCCACCTGGATTTCTTGTCCGGAGGCGCCTGCCCGGGTGCACCCGAGGCTGCGGCCTGGCCTCAGAGTGGGTGGGCGAGGGGCGGTGTGGGCGGGGGGAGGGGCGGGCTCCATGGCACCTCGGAGCCGGGAGGAGGAGCACGAAGCCTGGGGTGGAAGGGTGCGGCCTCCGCCGACCACGTGCAAGGCCCGCGGCCTTCATGTCGACACCTCCTCCCGCCCGGGCTCGAACTAGCCCGTGGGGAAGCCGCCAGGGCAGGTCGTGGGGTGCGCGGTGCCTGACTTATTCCTTCCCCCACCACCAGCTGCCATTTCCACGCTTACCCTGTGCAGAGAGTCAGGGCCTGTGAGATGGCGTCCGACTGTCGCCATCGGACACCCTCCCTGGCACAGACTTTTTGAGGGTCCCGCTCCGCGACTTCGAAAGTGGCTCCTTGCTGGCCCGTGTGAGGCTTGGGGTGGTGGTTTCCAGGGGTTGGGGGGGGGGGGGGGGAGATGGCCACAAATGGAGGCGCCCGGAAGGGCGCGGCCTGTGAGCTAGGCCCGGGCCTGGCGTTTTGGCGCGGGCGGGCCTCCTGCCAGGGCAGCTCTCGGCAAGCGGGGGAGGCGCCCGGGGGGCGGGGCAGCTTCGGCACAAAACCCGCCGGGGTTTCCGCTCCCGGTACAGTGAGCTGCCTTTGCTCCCCAGGGACCCGGAATCGGGAAGTTTAACATTGTTTACTCTTGGGGACAGTTTCGGTCTCTAAATAAACCAAGAGCTTTTAAACCAAGCATACAGACAGTCATATTTTGCGGGTTGGACACGTCTGGGAGTCTAGGCAAATAGATGGAGCTGATTCCACCGCACCGCAAGATGGAACTGCAAGATGGAACTCTGTGGACGCTTGACTAACCATTAAGCCACAAATGCATTAAACATCATGAGTATTTATTGGTAGAATAATAATTGTTATTCTCTCTATTGTAAGAAGTAGAGGAAGAAAATTTATATACAACTTTCCTTGGTGTAAATGTTGAAATAAAAATTTATGATTATATGTAAGTAATTTATAACTGTTCATAGTTAGCCAGATTATTTAATAATTACTATGCGTTACTATGTTATTTACAACCATTTTCCTCTATTTTTAGAGGAAAAGGAGAATAACGCTAATAGATTATTGACTTTTTTTCTGATTGTGAAAGTAACATCTCATTTGAAAGTAATCAATATAAGAAAATAGAGGTCTATCTTAGTCCCAGCACCTGTTAAAATTTTGATGTCTATGTCTTTCCAGTGAATGTATTGCATATAAATAGGTAAATTTTATTTGACAAAAGTTGTACCATACTATATATAATCATTTTACAATTTCCATCTTTCATTTAATATAATGGATATTATTTCCAAAGATAAGTTTAAAAATAATTTTGAACTTATAAAGTTAGATTATAATCTGTATTATTACTTGCTTTAGAAAATTCCCTTATAATGAATAATTTTTTAAATATTAAAATAATACTATAAAAAATACTGTGTAAATGTTTTGACATGCCTATTCTGTTAATTCCTTGAAATAAATTGTTAGGAGTGGAAGGGTATGTTATGACCACTTTATAACAATTTTAAGTTGCACATCTTTCCAAATTACTCTTGATAAAGCATGTACCAGTATATATTCCCATTGATGGTGCATAGAATGACCTATTCTCCATTTAAGTTGCCAATTTAGTAGCTGGAAAATATTACATGTTGATATGCTTATTTATTAGTTAAATTGAAGTTTGTCATTAACTTTATAAGTTCTTAATTTACCTTTCTACTTGGATATTTTTCTTTATTTTAATGACTTATAAAAACTCTATATTAATATTAACCCTTTGTCATTTTTAGAATAGAAACATTTAGTGTTCATAAGGAAGTGCCCTATTTCTAATTTCAAAGGAATTAAGCATATAATGTTTTACTTTAAGCCTGATGATGACTTAGAATTAAATTAGATTGATAGTAAATAAGATTCTTCTATTTCTATTGTACTTGGGTTTTTTAAAAATGTAAATAGGAATGCTGTATTTTATCAAATATTTTTTCATTGGTGAATTGCAATAATAGCCTTGCTAAGAATTAACCATCCTTGCATTCCTAATATAAATTGTGCTTAATTATATATTTTTATATATTGTTTGAATTTCACATCTTTGTTGGGGGCAGGAGTGGACTATCTTAATTAGGTTTTGTGAGTCAAATGGTGTTAGTTTTGTAAAATGAATTGAGAACTATTCTTTTTTTTTCCTCTGAAAAGTTTTTTTATGAAAACTGAATTTTCTTTATCTTCTACTTCCTCTTCTATTTTCTACTGTTTCTGTATTGGTGCCTTTCCTATCCCCATCTGTACATACAAATGATCTCTTTACAGTTTGAAAACACAAACTCCCGCCCAACTGTCATACATACATACATATATATATACATATATATGTATATGTGTATATATATGTATGTGTGTGTATATATATATATATATATATATATATATATATATATAAAAGGCTAATATGCTAAGTGTGATGACATTTGACCATTCAACCGGTAGCTATGACACACACACTGACCACCAGGAGGCAAATGAAACAGACTGATAAATCTCAGAGGGAAAAAGAGAGGCAGGAGGGCAGGAAGAGATTAACCAAAGATCTTATATGCATACTAGAGGCCTGCACCAGTGTGCTCTCTCATAATCTTGGACCCCTCAGGGAATGTCGGACTGTTGGTTTCAGCCCAATCACTGCAGGGCAGGCCAAGGGACCCCACTGGAGCATGAATTCATGCACTGTGCCTCTAGTTATATATAAATACACACACAGTAGTTTTTAAATCCTTGCTGTTCAATCTTGTTAAAATGGAGTATTTTGCCTACTTTGTTAGCTTTGAGCGCCACCTGCTGGCTAAGGACTAGGATATGATGGTGCCTTAATTTAAGGCATTATGACAACTGGTAAAATAATTTGATGAATTTTATATTTAATATCCCAATTAAGCAGGCAGCCAATCTGTACACCCACCTCCAAGCCAAACTTCCTGTAATATCTAATGGATTTTTTTCTCTTTTTCCCAAATCACTGTTATGTTGTTTTAAATACCCATTTTACTTTTGTAAATAGAGTATGAGAATTAGAACTGTTTCTCTTCAATTCTGGCAACACTATCATGGTGTTTCTCAAACATGACCCTATTAAAATGTGGGGCTAGATAATATTTGTTGTGGTGGGCTTCCCTTTGCATTATAGATGTTTATTGTGTCCCTGCCCTCAATCAGCACTCAGTTGTGGCAACCAAAATGCCCCTATCCTGCAAAGTCTCCCCTGGTAGAGAATCAATACATTAATATAATATCTTATAATCTGGCACAGTTTTATGGCCTGTTAATACCTGTGAATTAAAAAAGCATCCCTCTGCCCTGCCAACATGACTCATTAGTTCAGCATTGACCTATGAACCAGAAGAAGGTCCAGTTCGATTCCCAGTTAGGACACATGCCCAGATTGTGAACTTGATCCTTAGTGTGGGGCATGCAGGAGGCAGATGATCAATGATTTTCATCATGGATGTTTCTTTATCTCTCTCCCTCTCCCCTCCTTCCTGAAATCAGTAGTGTGTTAGTGTGTGTGTGTTTGTGTGTATCCTATCTAATAAAAGAGTACTATGATGCAAATTGACCACACCGCCAAACGACACCCACCAGCCAATCAGGAGCACGTATGCAAATTAACCCAACCAAGATGGCTGTGGCCACGGAGAGAGCAGGAGGCTTGGGTTTTCCCAGTAATGGAAGAAGCTAACTTTCCGCCTGTCCTGGCCAACCTAGACCTCAGCTTAAGACTATAAAATTTCAACTATAGAAGATAAATAAATTCCAACAAAAATGGTGGCAGCCATGGAACTGGAGAGAGCAGGAGTCTTGAGTTGCCCCTGCAGTGGAGGAAGCCAAGTTTCCACAGCCCTGGCCTGCCTTGGCCTCTGCTATAAAGTTTCAATTATAGAAGATAAATCCCAACAAAAATGGCTACTACCACTGAGCAAACAGGAGTCTTGGCTCTGCTCAAGGCTACAAAGTTTCAATTATAGAAGATAGATAAATCCCAGATAGCAAGGCCTCCACTTGGGTTCCTGGGGTGTGTGGCTGGCCTGCAAATCACCACAGGCCTTTTGCCGAGACTGCCCCATGCCCAAAGGGAACCCCCATTCTGATCCTGGACACCCTTCAGGGCAAACCAGTTTGCCCTTATCCATGTACCAAGCCTCTGTCCTATCTAATAAAGAGTAATATGCAGATTAACCATCACTCCAACACACAAGATGGCTGCCCCCATGTGGACACAAGATGGCCACCACAAGAATGGCCAGCAGGGGAGGGCAGTTGCAAGGGACCAGGCCTGCAGGGGAGGCTGGCAGGGGAGAAGTTAGGCATTAATCAGGCTGGCAGAGGAATGATTCGGGGGTGATCAGGCTGGCAGGCGGAAATGGTTAGGAGCAATCAGGAAGGCAGGCAGGCAGGCAAGCAATTGGGAGCCAGCAGACCTGGATTATGAGAGGGATGCCCGACTGCCCGTTTAGGCAGCTGTGATCCAAGGCTTGCCTGCACCTCGGGACAGCCCTGAGAGATTGGGGGATTGAGGGGACTCGGGTTCTCGGGAGGCAGGCATGCCCTGGCCTTGCAGCACACCTGCTGCCCTTGCAGTGCTGAGAGGACTGGGTGCTGCCATCTTGTGGCTGTAGGCATCACCATCTTTGAGGGCATGGCAGTAAATTAGCATATTTCCCTCCTTATTGACTTTGGGCACTGCTGTCTTTTAGACAGTGGGACAATCAATTAGCATATTCCCTTGTTATTAGATAGACTGCAATGTTTGTTTTATAATGGGAAAAGTTTAGAAATAGATCACTCTCTCCCACCTAATTGTTGTGACATGTCACTATACCATAGTAAAGGAAAGAATTAAGTATTCAAATAGAAACCAAAATAACAATCATAAGCACTAAATCAGAAAAACCAAAATGCTCAAATTATGTGATTTGACAATTTTTGTTTCCTCTCTAATTAGTATAGCAATTTGTAGTCTTTTGTCCTTGTTTTCCTCCATAAACAGAAATGTAATAGTTTTATCTCTTCTTTTCCTGCCTTTTGTACTTAGCTCTTATAATCAATAAGTATTTTATAAAAGAATTTCTAATAGGCAGATGTACCATAAAATAATTGCTTAAAGTTCCAATTCAAGTTAGTTGTTAATTAATAAAGTATATACAAAATAAATAAGTTAGTAGTAAAACCAGGAAGGAAAATTGTTTTACTTTTTAAAATTACTTATTAGTTAAATAAGTGTGTGTTTTTTTAACTATTGAAAATTCAGTAACTCATATTGGCATACTCTTTTCAAAATGAATTCACAGATGTTGTTTCATCTCATTCTCCAAGCAATTTTCCTAGCAATAAACAGCTGCAAAGTAAGTGGCTTATAACTTAGTAAGGGACATGAAATCTACATCTCCTGACTAAATCAATTTTTGTTTCATTATACTATACTACCTTTCCAGAATATATTACCAATAAATTCTGCTTCAGAGAATTTATATTAACCTTAGTGTGGGAAGACTAAACACAGAGTTATAATCAGAATCCAGGAGAAAACTGAGCTTCATATGTGGGCCTCCTTTTCTGAAAATAAAGATGGTATACATCTAGCAGCCCACTGTGGAAATTAGAATTACCAGTAAGACTGATAATTACCATGCTTTTTAATAAGTTACTTATAAAATGAAAATTTGCTTATTGGCATAGACTAGGCTAACTTAAATAAATTTATTTTTTACAAACTTGAATTTGCTAGTTATTTTTTACCAGTTCACATAGTATTTTCACAAACTCAATATAAAATCAGTATTCTACCATAAGAAATGGCAATGAGCAACACTAAGTTTAAGTAAGTACTATATACCCTTTTAACATTTCATAGTGATCTGCTCTGATTTACCTTATACCTAAGCTTGAATTAAGCTATATTGCTAATTTACAATACAATGAAAATAATTTATATGAAAATGTTTTATTCTTTAAAAAATTATAGTTCACATCGTATGGTTGCCTGTATATCTACTGATGATATCTCTATATCTGTTTACCAAATTACAGTCTGCTACAAATTCTGAGACTCCAAAGTCAACCATCTCCAGAGAGGCCAGCACCCAGTCCTCATCATCTACAACCAGCCAAGGCTATGTTTTACCTGAAGGCAAAATCATGCCAAACACCGTTTTTGTTGGTGGAATTGATGTTAGGGTATTGTATTCATATTTAATTGATTTAAGAATAAGTCTTAGGAATGATGGGATTTTTTGTGCTTATTGCAAACATAAGGATTTTGTATTTCATGCAGTATTGGAACTAGTTTTGTGTTTAACCTAGGGGGACTGAAAATATCTTTGACAAAGAGCTACAGGTAGTTTGAGGATACTTGGGTAAAATAGTTTCACATCATCAAATCTTCTTTTATAGTATAATTGAAATTTTCGAATGCTGAATATTTACTCTTATAGTCAAATTCTTTTCCATAGATGGATGAAGCCGAAATTAGAAGTTTCTTTGCTAGATATGGTTCAGTAAAAGAAGTGAAGATAATCACGGATAGAACTGGTGTATCCAAAGGGTAAGTAAAACATACTAAATATGAAATATAAAATAAATATGAACTAGTTTGTAGATTACTAGAGGCAGAACTCAAAACATATTTTATACGTATTGTATAAATGAAATTCATTGCTTTGTTAATTTCTTCCATGTAGAGATAAAAGTTTGCTGCCAGCTCTCTTTCATTTAATTATTTTCCTACTATTTGCATTTAAATATTTCTCATCTTTATTTATTTAACTTAAATGGATTAATTATTTTTATCGAAGAATTGTTTTCTTTGCACATTTCACCGTATTTTAAATTTTAACCTTTTTGCCATAGACAGTAAATTATATTTAGGTTTCTAGATGGGAATTTTCTGTTAATGAATAAGGTTCTCACACTACTTTAATTGTAAGGGGGGAAAAAAGCAATAATATTTATAGAATATCATGTACATCTTAAAAATATTTGTGTATCTTCATACTTTATTATCACTTTTGTTAATTATTTCATAGAATACTAGAAGTTTCAAAACTTTCAGTTATGGTGATGATTTCATACTTCATTTATCTGCCTTTCTAGCTATGGATTTGTTTCATTTTATAATGATGTGGATGTGCAGAAGATAGTAGAAGTAAGTAGTCTTCTTATGGGAAAATCTCTTAATTAGATTTTGGATGCAATGTTTAGTATTAGTTGAGCCTCAAATACATATTCAGTCTTATATAAAATATAAAGATAGAGCCCAGCCAGCATGGCTCAGTGGTTGAACATAGACCTAGGAACCAGAAGGTCACAGTGATTCCTGGTCAGGGCATATGCCTAGGTTGTGGGCTCGATCCTCAGTGTGGGGTGGCCAGGAGGCAGTTGATCAATGGTTCTCTTTCATCATAGATGTTTCTATCTCTCTCTCCCTCCACCTTCCTCTCTGAAATAAATAAAAATATAAAATATAGAAATAGATATACTTTTTGAAATTCAAACTTGAGTAATCTTACATAACTTGTTTGGGCATCTAGCTTCATGAACTAGAGACAGAATGTAAATAAAGGTTTTGATCAAATTCCATGACACCTCTTGACACTTGAGTAGTGATGGTAAGGTGCTGATCATTTTTTTATTTATTTACTATGTTCTTATCACTGATCTTTTCAGATAGTAGAAACTTTTAGAACATTTAGGATATTTATGAAGGTATTGGAAGTAAAGACTTCAAAATTGATTTTACTTTTGTTACTATTTTCAGTCACAGATAAATTTTCATGGTAAAAAGCTGAAACTGGGCCCTGCGATCAGGAAGCAAAATTTATGTGAGTAAAGAGAGGAATTTTTCTTGTTGACACATATGTAGCTTTTCAGAGAACTAAAAATAGGCTTTGTTTTCTTTTCTTTACAAAGGTGCTTATCATGTGCAGCCACGTCCTTTGGTTTTTAATCCTCCTCCTCCACCACAGTTTCAGAGTGTCTGGAGTAATCCAAATGCTGAAACTTACGTGCAGCCTTCAACCATGATGAATCCTATAACTCAGTATGTTCAGGTAAGAATTACCTATGTTCCTGCGTCTTTTTTTTGTTTTGTTTTGGTTTTTGTTTTTTCATTTTATTAGTATTGGAGTTCTTATGGATGAGAATACCTTAAAAGTAAGCCAGTCTCACTTCTTTTCCCCTGTGGAATTACATAAGCAATTTCCATAATAAGTGGTAACACTATTTCTGTTTGAATACTTATGGCTATGGGAAATCTATTTTTCTAAGTCTGTCATTCTTAGTTATTCCTTTTTCTAAGCTAAAATCTGCTTCTATATAGTTTGTAAACCTTTATCTTGAAACTAACCTCTTTAGCCACAAAGAACATGTCTTTTCCTTTTTTGCCTTATACAACAACTCATAAAATATATGAAGGCAGATTTTCTCATGAGTCTGCCTTGCTTATTCTTCTCTAAGGTTAGCCATTTGTCGAGTTATTCTTTATTTGCAATAATGTCTAGATGCCTTCCCATAAAGAGTGTTGACTTCTGGATATATTCTGGTTCTAAAATGGATAGGTTTCTGATGACTTAGCTGTACTTGTAAACTATAAATCAGGCATACAGTTTGGTCCTGGTTGGTTACGTCAATATTTGAAGTGGTATGTGGAATATTTACTATTTCCTATTGATGACAGTGTTTATTTTCTTCAGTTTAAAAGATATATTATTTGCATAAAAGAAACAATAATAATGAAATGTACTGCAGTGTCTCTGCTTTGTTTACATTTTCTATCTACCTGAAGTGTAGTGTGTATTTTTTATTTTTCTTGTCCCAAACATGGCTAGAATTAAAAAACCACTTGTTCTTAACATTTACTGTGTTATTACCTATTCTGGGTATATTCATACCTAGAAGTTTTTTATCAGTATTTTATCAATATTTACTTAAAGTTTTTTATCAATATTTACTTAAAGATAGAGTATATTTTACTGCCTCTTTTCCCATTTTGGTTTATATATTGCCCTTAAATTTTAGAAGTAAAACACAAAAAGAGCCATAGGTCTGTAGGAAGACTATACATTGACTACACATTACCCCATGATACTGTCAAAGAAATACAAAACTACCAAAAATATTTTTACAGAGAAATAGCAGATGTATTAATAACTTTAACATGGAAATCTACTCTTTAAGTCTTGTCACCAGTGTAAGAAAGAACTGTGTGGCAATAAATATACAAATGATATAAATGTAAACTGGCAAAATCAGTCACTTCCCTTACCCCTTCCTCCTAGAGAATACTTTTTTCTTTATGAAGCCAATCCTCAAATAGGGTCCTGTACTGCATATAGAAAAATAATTAAGATTTCTTCATTTTCATATATTTATTGTTTGAGGAAAATATTCCTCCTTTACATTTCTTCTGAAACTTATTTTCAGGCATATCCTCCTTATCCAAGTTCACCAGTTCAGATCATCACAGGATATCAGCTGCCTGTTTATAATTATCAGGTAATTTAAGAGGAAACAAATGACTTATTTTAGGATATTATTGAGGCCTTTATTTATGTAAATAGTTTTTCATTTAAATTAATTGAGTATGCCTAAAATTTAAGAAAAACTTTGAATTAAATCTACTGTATTATTAGAAATAAGGGAATGATATTTTGACAGGAATGTACTTAGCAGTAAGTTTTTTCTTTTATTGTTTTAGAAAGTTTGGTGTCCCCTTCATGTATTTCTCATATTTATTATTAAATAGCTGAAACACCCAGGCTAACTTAAAAATTTTACTAGGGGAAGAGATTAAAATAAAATTATTACTCAATTCTTAGAACATTGACTTCCAGTTACATTTGGTAGTGTTTATTTTAGCTGGTTACTACAAGATAACAGTAGTTCTCTGAATTTCTCTGCTCTTATATGTGACTATATGATCCATGACCATATATCTATGGTAATAAATTCAAAGAATACTATCTTTGAGTTTTCCTGAATGCCAACCTCAGAAATTGAAGAAAAGGTAGAGTTTATATATGAAAGTAATAATAAAATCCTCAAGTATTAGAAACATAAAGTACTACTTTCTTTCATTCTGTTTTTTTATAACAAGTTCAAGAAGCCAGCATGACAAATACCCCAACATTGTCTATCTCATATCCTTGTGAAAAGTGTAGGAATATTTAAAAAAAAATTTTTTTTATTATTATTTTTTAGATGCCACCACAATGGCCTACTGGGGAACAAAGGAGTTATGTTATACCTCCGGTAAGGTTAATTAGCTAAATATACTCTTCCTGTTCTTAAGTATTTTTTTTTTGTTTAACTATTAGTATATTTTTTGAGCTTTGGCCATATCATGTATGCCTACAAACATGTTTAATTGCCCTTTTACATTAGGTGTTATGGTTTATTAATTTCTTGTCAACTTAAATGTATACTCCCTGGGAGAAACTACTTTTTGTTTCTTGGCTTGTTTTTGCTTAAACAATGGCTGCTCTGCATACAACAGGTGTTTAATTAGTTACTGATAGGATATAGAACCCAAAAAACATAGTATTAATACCTATGATAATGCTAATTCTATGGATTTAGAATTAGTATTGAATCTGCTTCTAGTTTCCTACCTATAAAAATGTCTGTTGAAGAGAACCAAAGTAATATTTTTCTGTAATATGCTGAAAGGGAATTAAAAAAAAGGGTGCTACATCTAAAATACCTAAATCTTTATTACCTTCTGTCTTTCATCAGGACTGGATATTAGAAGGATATAAGTTAAAATTTTCAGGTGCTGGGAAATTTCCATTCCCTATCATTTAAGTCTCTCTCTCTCTTTTTTTTTTTTTTTTTTAGAGTACTTCCAATTCTGATTGTGCTGAGCCTTAAAAGACATTTCAAAATAAAAGACTGCCTTATTACTGCATTTCAGCTTCAATTTAAAATAAAGTGTCTGTGATAATCAAACTTCTGCATGACGCACATTTAAACATCTCACCATTTTGAAGAATAGATTGTTTAGAAATGTATCTAATGTACATCTCTTTAATTATACTTTTATCATTTTAAATGTAGGTTTATACAGCTGTTAACTATCACTGTAATGAAGTTGATTCAGGAGCTGAAGTTTTGACAAGTGAATGTGCAGTTCATGAAGCTACTACTCCATCCTCTGGAAATGGCCCACAAAAGGCAAACATATAATTTTATTAAAATTTTTATATTTATTTTTTTAAGTTTTAATAATGGCCCTTTGAGAAGTGAGCATCTTTGCCCCAATTTAAATATGGAAGCCATAAATTAAAAAGCTTGAGTAATTGATAACATGTCAGTTTATAATAAAGTTGATGAAATTATAGGCACCTCAAAACTTTTAGTATATAATTTCTAATTTAATAGTTATTTTCCTCTGTTCCATTTTCATTTTTATTTTTTTTTAAAAACCATATTTTAAAAAATATTGTATTAACATGACTTAACAGAATACAATGGCAGGTTTTCCTCAAGCCTCCTATTCTGCTAAAGAGGAATTAGTACGAATTATACCTACCTGTTTGTTTGTTCTTTGTTTTGGGGGTTGTTGTTGTTTTTGTTCTGTTTTTTTGGTGTTTTGTTTGTTTGTTTGTTTTTTACCAATTTAAACATTTACCTAGCTAAATAGTAACATGCAGTTATTTATGGTATTATTTCTATAACGTTATACATGGTAGCTTTCAGGAGTTGTGGAGTCAGTAGTAATAATTGAAATATTGAAGTAGACAGTTTTTTTTTTATTATAGCAGGTTTCTATAATAGTGTTCTCACTTTTGAATTATCTTATGTTTAATTGAATGGGTGGGAATATGGGAAACAGTGGAGAATTTTCATTGTAATATGTGAACTTTGTCCAAGTGTTTTTCAGTGGAATAAAAGGTCAAGAACTACTGAACTATATAGGGTAAAGAAACTCCCTGATTTGATATATGATTTGAAATTTAAAAACAGTATTAAAATAGCTCAAAGTACAATTATAATATCAGGTTTTATCCTGGATATTTTTTTTCTAGAAATATTGGAGTTAACTATTTCTTATCTAACAGGAAAAATTAAAGGACATTAAGCTAATATTTTAGGGTTTTACTAAATGGAGCTTTTAAAATCAACTATCACTAAGTTTCTAAATATTTCTTGAATTCAGTAGAAAAGTTACATTCTAAGTGACATTCTATGTGGTTTAAGAATTATGAATTTCCTAAGAATTCTTTAGAAATAAGTATATTTATTCATTAAACTTTATATAAAAAGGGCTTGTTAATAGTAAGTAAAAGGAATAGTCATTAGATTACAGAAAACGTCTGTATTTCAGAAATCTGTGGATCGAAGCATACAGACCGTGGTATCTTGTCTGTTTAATCCAGAGAACAGACTGAGAAACTCTGTTGTTACTCAAGATGACTACTTCAAGGTATGAAAGGAATAGTACACAGGATAAAAAATCACATTTTTCAACCACAAAACAACTTTTTTTTTTCCTGTGGTATATACATTTTGAGATTACATAGAACATTTAATTCAACTCTTGCATTTGACTGTAACCTAGTAAACCACTGTGAGTGAGTTTTACCTGGTAATGCATTTTATGTTGCTCAAACCTTGATGTAGTGTAGTTTGTTCTTAAGGAACAAACCTTTAGCAGACGCTTACAATTGAAAGAGTTTATGAAAAAAAAATAGTTGAAAGAGAATATTAACTTGATGAAATAGTAAAGTTTTTAGATACAGAAAACAACGTAAGAGTATGTGCATATTGGACTACAGAGAACAAAGAAATTGGTCACTCGGATGGCATACTTAAACTATGTAGGAGTGAAGAGGTAAAGTTAAGCAATAAAAAGCTGAGTAGAAAGAAATGGAATTGATTTAGAGTTGGTGGAGTGAAGAGAACATAGGTGTTTGAATTTAAGGAATTCTGGTTTCTGATTCTGGTTTTATCTATCACCTTGGACAAATCATAAAATTTTGTTAAGGCTCCAATTTTTATAAGTCTAAAATGAGAAAACACAAGACTAAAGGTCTCTTAAAATCTTTTTAGTTCTGAGTCTATGAATATGGAAAGGAACTAACTGGTCACTCCAGTGAGGGAATAATATTGTGTGTGCTTAGTAAAGTGTTTTTTTTTTAATAACATGTTTATTGACTATAATACAATTCACTCTTTTAAAGTGTAAAAAGTTCAGTGCTTTTTAGTATATTTGCAAGCCATGACTATAATCAATTTTAGAATATTTTAGTCACACCAAAAATAAACCCCCTACATATAAGCAATCACTCTCCATTTCCCCCCAACTCTTCTAGTCTTAGCAAGCACTAACCTACTTTTATTAAGGATTTGCCTATTCTAGATATTTCATGTATGTATCTATATTTATAAAAGCCTAAGTGACCATTACTATCAGTCTCCTGAACAACTGGTCAATATGGTGCACACTGACCACCAGGAGGCAGACACTCAACTCAGGAGCTCCACCCTGTAGGCCAGCCCTAATTGGCTCTGATCACTGGCCAGGCCAAGAGACCCCACCTGTGCACGAAATTTGTGCACGGGGCCTCTAGTATAGAATAATGCAACATTTGGCTTGTTGCCAATGGCTTATTTTACTTAGTATATTGTTTTTAAGGTTCATCAGTGTTACAGCATGGATCAGTATTTTATTTTTTTTTATTTATGGATATACCATTTTACCCATTTATTACTAGATAGACTTGCATTGTCTCTACTTTTTAGCAGTAATGCTTTCGGCAAATATTTACAAGTTATTGTGTGGACATATGCTTTTATTTCTCTTGGGTGTATACCTAGGAATGCAATTGCTGAGTCAAATGGTAATATGTTTAACCTTTCAAAGAACTTCCAGAATTTCCTCAAAATGACTTCACCATTTTACATTCAAAAGGAAGTTTTTAACCATTGCTTCGTGTTTTAAAACAGGGAAGACAACAGAATGGAATTTGTTGAATTTTTTTCTTCTATGAAATGACATAGAATGAAGCTTAAAGCCTTTTTTGAAGGGTATATACTAAAATCTTTCTATAATATAGAAGAAAAGAGCCATAGCAGGATTAAGTTCTTACCATCTTCTCCACAGGGAGTAAATATTCATTTAAAGTTGACATTGGTTCTTTTGTAATTTCATTCTACATAGTCTAACTTAAAGGGAAAGAACTGATATTGTACCACAGCTTTCCTTTTCCAAAGTTCTGAAGGTTAAATAAGTAGTACTTAAATGATTTTTTTTTTTCAAAGCAGAACATGGTCTTTAAACTTGAGTTTTCAGCTGGTATTAGACAAAAGCTCCCAGAGTTTTTTAACCTTCCAGAGTTTTTTGCTCCTCTGGGCTAGAAACACTAAGTAGAAATCAAAAATTGATAGCCTACAGTTATCTGGCGTTTAGACCTATTTTGATTAGCTGTTATTGTTCTAATTGAATTTGAATGCATTGAGGCAGTTAATATACTAATTTAGACAACAAATTCCATTCTGTTGTCTAAATTTCAGCTTCTCCATAATTTTTCTTATCCTACTTGATCTTTGAAGATACTTCATTTATAACCACTTTTCTGGGCTTTAACCTAAATAAGGTTTTCCCTGTTAACAAATTAAATAATTTCTAGTTACCCTTCTTTATATGACAACTGAATTCATTCCTAGGAAAAGGGCAGGGTTTAAAAAAAAAACAAAACACCCTAATATGTAGAGAAGAAAATACTATTATGTTATTGTTGGTTTACTCATATTCCTTCTATCTATACACATAAAATGAAAGGAAGAAATTACAAATATTTTTAATTTTTTACTTCATTTCCCAAAGAAGTTAATTAAGACAAATCCAAAACAAACTAAACTTTACTAGGTACATAGCTTCTTGAAGAGTGATGTATCTTCATCACAGGTGAAAGACATTCTTTTAAATATGTCAAAACCCTTACTTTTAATCTAAAAGTATAAGATTTCAGGTTGAAGTGCAGTGCTGTTCTCAAGCTATTATATGATTTGTATCAAATGCACTTTCGTTAGTAAAAACTGTTTTTTTTAATTACATATATTTTCACCAATACCTTTGGGTCATCACTGCCAAATCATTAATTAAAAATCTGCGTAAAATGGTAGTGATTCTAAGTTCTGTTTCTGAGTTTACCAAGTTTTATTGTTTAATTAAATTGTTGAATAAAACTAGTTAATTGATACATTTGTCATCAGAATTCAGGAATACTTTCCAAAAAGGATCACTTTCTCCAATTTATAGTTTTTAAACCCAAAATAAATACTTTTAAGTATTTCACAACTCTTAGGTCATAATGCTAATAAGACATTTTCAATGAAATAAAAAAGACTGTTTCTGTCTTTTCTAGGATAAAAGAGTGCATCATTTCAGAAGAAGTCGGGCAGTGCTTAAATCTGTTTGATCCTCTCTACTAACTTTCTAGTCTCATGGGAAGTTGCTGGTTTTGAATACTAAGAAGAGACTGAAAGTTTTTGACTATTATAGAAATTTAATTCTGAGTATTGATAAATCACATTAAGACTACAAGCTGTATTAGATTGCCTAGTTTTATTTTACATTGAAACTGTTTTTCATTAGATGTTTAGAAACTTAGTTCTGTGTTAAATACATAGTTAAGAGTAAAAAATAATTAAGACTGAAAGGAACAACTTTTAAGATTTATCTGTAAGGGCTTTTTAAAAAAAATTGAAATTGACATTTTAAGTTTAAAAGTAAATACTGATTTTCAAAAAATTGTTTTAGCCAACATACTATTTTGAAAGGTCAGAATTTTGATAGTTTGAACACAAGTGTTCACTTCTCTAGCAAGTTCTTGTGAGTAGTACAATATTTACAATTTTGTGCTTTACATTTATAATTTGTCTAGAAATTAACCGCAAAAGCATAGTTTTTAAAATTGCACTTTTAATCAGTGGAATTCATTTATAGTTAGCTTTTTTGAAGTCTTCCTTATCTAAACCCAGTAAAACCAATTCTAAACAAACAGTCCAATCATTGAATCTTATTGGTTGGAAATATTTTCTTTTATCTAGAATCCACACATAAATATTATATTTGATTGGGATGATAATTAGATAACTAAAATTTCACCTAATTTTCTTAAAGAATCCAAGACAAACTAAACTTTACTAGGTACATAGCTTCTTGGTGTGTTACCATTCGCCTTTTTTTTCTTTAAAAATTTTTCCCTTGAAATGCTAAACGTATCTTAAATTGTGCAAAATATTGGTAATAAAGAATGCTAAAGCTTTTTTATGTCACTTAAAGGTTAATCAGAGTATCTAAAAGGAATTGTTTTTATAAAAACATTAAAAGATTAGTTATTTGTTAAAAAGCAAACAGATTTTTATTTTTGTTTGTGAGCTTATTATATTACCTTTTTTTTAAAGTAAAACATGTCCAAGAAAGTCAAAGTAGTCTTGGTGTTTCTGAATCACAAAAATTGTTTAGTAAGCATATCCCAAGAATATACTCAGTTAACAATCCATTTATAGATTTACTAGTCTCCTCATTAGATATTATATATTGTGACAAACAACTAGAGCACCAAAGCCTTATTGCTATACCCACAGTCTTGCTTTTCCAGTTTATAACATCATTTTTCCAGAAGGTTTGTTCCTAGAACAGATAATGTAAAGATGAGAAGTAGAAGTATGGGCAGTTTTAAGGCCAAGCCTTAGAAATGTAGCAATGGAATAATACCTTTTTAAGGGAAACACTTGTCTCAGCATCATCTGACCTGCCATGAACATGAGTTTAAAATGGCTCCCTGGCCTTTCTTCCATTGGCCACTTCACTAAAACATATAAAGACTCTTTTTATCCCTAATCTAATCCATGGGCCATACCATCAGGGCCCATTGCTATCTTATAATACCAAGTAATTTTTACTCTGAATCTGAAGGGGGAGAGCCTTTTATCTTATGTATTCCACAAAAGGGCTTTCCTACTAATAATTTGAAAGTACCCTGAAATTTATCTTTTTAAAATTCTCTATACTATCTCTTATGATTTATCCTATGACATTCTTACATTTATAATTCTGTGATTAAATCTCCAGGTTACTGTAAATTACACCGAAATTTTAAAGAGCCACTTACATGACTTGAAGTAAGGAAATAAACTTTTCATTTGTGTGCTGTTTTATTGGACTGAAGTATTTATTTTAAAAATAGTAAGGTAGAAAAGAGAGACAAAGTCCTGAACCTTTCAAAATGAACAATTAATTTTAAACTTAAAAGTATGTTCCTATTACATATTGCTTGTATTGTTTTTGCATAAATGAATAAATAGAAATAAAGAAACTTTTTTCTCAGAAACATTCTGACTTATTCATGTGACATTAAGTAAGTGGTAGGGAGTTGGGTGGGTAGTATGAGACAAGGTTTAGATTCTTGAAATTATATATTGTTCAATTTGTTAATCTGGCAGAAGAATCCTTTCTAATAAAAGGGTAATATGCAAATTGACTGTCACTCCAACACAAGATGGCTGTCCCCAAGTGGATACAAGATGGCCTGCAGAGGAGGGCAGTTGGGGGGGACCAGGCCTGCAGGGGAGGACAGTTAGGAACAATCGGGCCGGCAGGGGAGCAGTTAGGCATTGATCAGGCTGGCAGGGGAGTGGTTAGGGAGTTATCGGGCTGGCAGGCAGGCAGGATAGTGGTTGGGAGCCAGCATTCCTGGATTTTGAGACATGTCCGACTGCTCTCAAGGGGTTCCAGATTGGTGAGGCTGCAGGCCGGGCTGAGGGACACACACATACACACCCCCTGTGCACAAATTTCATGTACCTGGCCTTATAAAAGTTTATAAAAGCAAATTTTGCTACATTGTATTTTATTGCTTTCTGATACGAATTTAAGAGATAGATACTCATGAGAAAATAATCCCTCCTAATGCTGAGTTGGAAATGCTTAACAGTTTCAATACACTACATCAATAGTGCAGTACCAGTAGGAATGCTGAAGTGTCAATTATGACTGCAGTCTCATGGCCAGAGTCCCTCATTTTGGACTACGAGCATTCAATTCTGTCTACTGCACACTTGGACCTTAATCTTTGTGGACTCCTTAATTTTGTAGTATTATAGTTACCAAAATAGAGCTTAGATTTTTCATATTTCATTTCCTTCAGATGAGAATGTACCCAAAAGATCATTATTTACCACCTCTTATAGTTTCAGTACTCCCCATTCTATAAATTGAGGCCATAGGAGAGGAAATTTACCCAACTGAGTACTCCTATGCTATATTTTATAACTGACTCATTACCAGAAAACTGATTTTGATAAGGTTCTACAAGATAAAAAATAGTGATTTCTGAATCACTCTGAAGATACTTTTGATGTTTAAAGTAGAATCGTTGGCAGATTATAATCCTTAAGTGTGCATGTGCATATATACACACATGCATACATTCTAACCATTATCCAAAACATTTGATTAGCTCTGACCTAGCTAAATAACAGTTCATTAAAACATTTTAAGGCTCTAAAAGTACATATATCCTAAAACAATTTGTTTAAACCTACTTGATATTTTAAATGTATTTGCAGTTAAGGTTTGGCACAAAATTCTCAATAGAAAACCAAGTCTTGGGGATTAAAAAATAAATTCTATACAGCACTTAGTATTTTTGAAAATGTTGCAAAGTTATGGCAAAATCAAGTGACTCCAAAAAGGTTGGTAACCCACCCTTGTAAGAAGAGTATTCTGCATAATTTTTTCCTTAAGAACATGTTATCTTTGTAATTGTTTAAAATAATTCAATATTGATTAGCACCCTTAAACTGCAAGGAACTCACTGACTTTCAAAAATATTCCAAAGCATTTAGCCACTTATCTAAAATTCTCTTGGTTTTCTTTAAAGGTAAACTCAAGAAAATGGGCTGCCACATTGCTTAATTGCTTTGCCAGCACCAGCTTTCATTGCCATTATTTGAGAATAATAAGAAGCAGTAGCAATAAAACAGCCTGCTACTCTGCTTTTGCAATATGGCAATAAAAAGGGTGGGAAACCATAAGGGGGGGGGAGCAAAAGTGTTTTCCATTGACCAAGTCTTGCAAATAGGCCCAGCTGCTGAGTATAATCATTTGGAATTCCTGAAACACGTCTTCTAAATGAGGATTGCTCCTGTACATGTTATGATAATTGTGTAATGTGGCCCTTCCCAACATTATGCGTAATATGTCTGTGTGTAACTGAATCTTTTTGAGTAATTTCTTACCACCCATCATCAGAGACTCTTGAGTTTTCCATCTGTAGACATACTTTTGGTATTAGGAAACAATAAACATAAGAAGTTCAGACTGTAAACATGCATTTTTGAATGCTCATGCAAAATATTCAATCTGCATAGTAAATAAATGATAGGTAATTCTGCATTGCATTTGGAGTTAAAAACATCTGTCCAATATGGTTGTAGCTGTGGGCTAATCCAAAGCAAATGCAAAAAATTATCTCGATACAGAAGTTGAAACTACCACTGTACAGTTAAACTCTATATTAGCTATATTTTATGATTTTAATTGGTGTGAAACAAAGTTTTCCACTTGAGTCTAGTTTTTTTTTCCCAAGGCACAAGGAGGTTTTGTATCTTATCTGCACCTCTATTAAGTCTGTGAGCCAGGTATATGCTTTTTCCCACGTATAATCCACTGATACCAGTTGCACTAAGTCTTCAACAATAGAACAAATGCTTGAATGACTGGGATATTGGGATTATAAAAGCTCTTGATAAATTTGCAGCAAAGGCATCATTTCATGCAGTTCAGAAAGTTGAAGGTCTTATAATCCTTAAATAGTTCTTTTTTTACAGAAAATAAATATAGCAAAAATACATTAAGACTAATCACATCTATTGTGGTTCCCCAAAATAAAGTGGATAGAGACATTATTCTGGCTTAATCTTGGGTGAAACTACTATAGAAGAAAGATGGGGTTGACACTTAAGTGATTTGTACAGACAAATCAGCTATTTATAGTGGGTGGTCCTCTCTACCCTTGTACACTATAAATGTTTAATATTTTCAACCCCTATCACCACCCCACAGAATAGATCTGACTGGCTTAGTGAGAATGGAGAGGGATAACTAAAATTATAGAGCATTTTCTCTTTGCTTTAACTTAAGGTGACTCCCTACTTTGTGTTTTAATTGCTTCATTCATAGTGTGAACAGTATTTGAACAAGTAGTTGCTAACTGAGAAAAGATTCACATTTTTTTCTAAACATGGTTTGATTGCTGCTCATCCTTCTTGTTGGTTGTACTTGCTTGACAAAATAAAATCCCACTCACCACCCAAGGTTATATCCATGAGCAGATCAGCCTTGTATCTTTTGGGGTCAAGTTTCCTCAATCATAACCAATCTCAAAGGGAAGTTAAAGAATATGAGAACCAT